TTTCTAGGTTGGGTGGGATCCTGCCTGTGGGACCCCAGACGCACAAGAGCTCTGAGGAGCCCAAAGCGGCTCAGGTGTGAAGTGCCTGGAGGCACTGTGCTGCTTCTGAGACTGGACCTGGATCTGCCATATGACATGGGGCCTGGGCTGCACTGCCGCTGCGGGACAACCAGTGGAGAAGAAAGAAGCAACATGGTATTATTTATTTGCCTCTTAAGCAGGAAAGTGCATAGCTTCAGTGAGCATCAGCAGAGTAATCAAGATACAGTACAAGTCACGCTGGGGAGCAACAGGTTTGAGGCCTTATGCAGGTTCATTCTGCATTTCCTTCTCCTCGGTGTAGTTTCCTTGGCTCCACACACAAAGCTGTGCTTTCAAGGAGGTTTCATATCCTGCAAAGCCACTCAAAGCTGCTTACTCCTTTGCCAGAACTAGAACCATCCTAAGGTGCTGCTCCGAACCCTCCTTATTGTTGCCAACATATGGGAGTAGTGCTGCAATGTTGGGGAACCCCCTTTTTGCTGCATCACAACTGGAGGCTGAGAAGCAGCAGTGACACTTATGAAAATCATCTTTGCCTTGAGCTGGGGGTATAGTCCATCGTTGATTTTGCAATGGCTACAGAAGTGCATCTGCGTCGGTGTTTTATGGACAAGCTGTGCTCCCTCTGTGGGAGAGAAATGGAAGAACTCACATGCAGCCAGCCTCTTGCCAGCATCGTAAAAGCTGCTTAGCCAAAATCTCACCTTGATTTTGTTCCTTCAGCTTGGATGACCTGATTATCAAAGTAACCATAGGTTTGGAGAGGAGTACCTGCCAAGTCTGGTGTATGGAGGCCATGAGGGCTGTGATGGGCATGAGCAGCACCACCAGCCTTGACCTGAGCCAGCCCCTGACTGAGCCAGCCTGGTCCTGCTGGTTGTGGTCCAGGAGGACAGGAATCAGCCCTGGGGTGTGAGCAAGCTGTGGGGCTATGGATGGGCACCAGGTAGACACCCAGGGTGTCAGAAAATCGCAGTGTCTGTGGATGCACATGGATGAAAGATGAAGGTTTCTGCCTGGTTTCAGCAGGTTTCTGAAGGTTTCAGCAGTGGGAGCCACGTGCGGAAAGAGAGGGTGATTTAGTGCAGGGACTGCGGGGCAGAGCCTCTGGGGACATGGTGGCAGTGGTCACCCCAGGGCCTCCAGATCAGCCACAGCGAGTCCCTCATGCTGCTGCTGGCCTGGGGGACTGGAGGACATGAACAGCACAGGATAAAAAAGTGTTTTGTTTTTTTTAAACAAGTGCAGAAACATGTGCCTCCATCACTGGCCTTGCTCCCGATTGAACTACTCAAGGGCACCTAGGGGGGGAGGTTTGTTAAAATGTGCACTAAACAGCCTATGTCCTTACATATGCATGCCCAGCCCATGGCTGCAGTGCAAGAAAGGGAGGGGTTAAGCCACGTAGCTCCAAGCATGCTTCATCCTCAGCGATGGGCAGGAGGAGTTGGGGGGGGGCTGTTCCCATGTGGGGCTGGAGCAGCTGTGGCCAAGGGTCCTGCCGAGGGTCCCACAGGACTGGGGGGGTTTGCTGACTCCAGCCCCCAGCCCCTTGGCACGCAGCCCAGTCCCAAGAAATATAAACCAAAGAAGCATAAACAGATGATCACATGAAAAATATATCATGATTAGCCAGATAGATCCCAAATGTTTGTTCTGTAAACTGCAGCAGGCAGCACAAGTGTTCCCTGCAGCTGTAGTTTCTCATCTTATTTGTGTAAGTGTGCCATTAAGCTTAGATGTGGGCAAAATAATCTCTCCTTGATTCTCACTAAGAAGCTGCTCTAAGGATATATTATATCAATGTTTGATTCGACCCTTTTGCAACTGGTATTATACCGTAAACTGATTCTCACTTAATAGAAAATCTTTGCGCATTTTTTCTCCTAGGCTACTTCCTTTTCCCTCTAAAGCCAGTAAAGTGGTTTGTTTTGTGAATGAAAGCTGGATGCCTTTAGCAAGATGGCATTAACACTGACCTCTGCTCATGCATTGAATTCCTGCCCAGCAGGAGGCGAGGTTGGAGGAAAGGGTTAGTTCATTGATGGTCAGAGCCTGCTGTTAACCTGCCTGGAAAGGGAACTGCTCCGAGGGCTTCTCCCTTTCTTGGATTAGCCCACTGAAGCCATCCTCCTCTCCCTTTAGTTTTAACCATCTGCTGGAAAGATGGCTCTGATTCATCTCAGCTTGGTAGAGATTTTTTTCTTTTAATCTATAAAAGGGCAATACATTGCAGGGAGGGAGATACGCTTCAATTTTCCTATTGCTACCGCCTTTACTGGAGTGAGCTATCTGAATTTCACAGCATGAAACACTTAGCAAGGACAATGCAAAGAAATCCAAACCAAACTCCTTTAGCCATTTCCCAAGAAACTCAGCATGGTTTGTGCTCTTTGGTTCCTAAAATACATCCTGGAAGAGGGATAATCTGGAAAAATAAGATAAATTGTGAAGCTGATCGCCAACAGCCTCTTCTGACAGCTAGTGCGCAAGAGCTGTTTGGAGGGAGATGGGTCTGTAATTATGATGCTACTGGACTCTGAAAAGGTACTGTGTAAAAGCAGCATCTTTTCATTTGATAGTTTTATCTGCTGAATATCGCGATAAAACCTGTGGTCTGCTTTGTTAGAGCTGGAGAGGACCAGAGTAAAGTCAAAACCCAGAAGGTTTACACAGTGCAACTGGAAAACACGCAGTAGGTTTCCTCTCCCCTTTGTATCTTCGTGTTCTTCCAAAGCCAAGCCAGCATTTGGAAAATCAGCTGTGCCTCGCTAATTTTTACACCATCAACAGATTCATCAGCAAACCCTCCTCCACATTCTTCCCCCTGCCACTTCAGCTACCAAATTGCTTCCGCTGCAGGTGGAGGAGTGACCAGAGTGAAAGCAGAGCACGATGTCCATAGTCCAAATTGAACTGTAGCCATAGCAATGAAAACCACATCATCTTAATTTAGCTCTCCCACCAATGTCAATCAAGAAGTAATCCACCTATGCATCAAGAAGAAGTACATTAAAGTCAGTGGAATTGCACTAGCACAAGGTTGGTTTCATTGAGATTAGGCTTTAGCTTTGGTGTCTGTTTTATTTGTAAATTGAGCAGATAGAAGGCACTGGGAGATCATTAAATCGGAACTTGGCAATTTTCATTTCCACTTGTTTTTTTGAGTAAAACCATACCTTGTTATCCTTGCCAGAGTCTACAAGGACTAGTTTGAACTACTCTCACCAGCTAAGACAACACTTCTTCTCTATAAGGTGAGCACGTTGGATAAAGCTTATCGATGTAGATGTTTCTTTTTCTTTTAATTCACCTCCTGACCTTTTAAAATTACTTTACTCAACAAAGGACAATAGGGCCAATCCAACTCCCATTAAAGTCAGCAGGAGTCTTTTCATTGACTTCAGCTGAAGTTGGGCTGAGCCCAATAAGACTAACTTTAAGAGTAAAAAATAGCAACTCATATAGAGCTTTATCTTGCCCCCTATGGCTTGATAACTGACCTCCCATCATGCTCAGTGGGACAGGATCAGGCCCGTAAAGCCAAGTAAAACTATTACAGGCCTAATCTCATAACCCAAAGCTTATAAAGTATTTGCATTTCCTCTTTTTAATCACACAGGAATATCTGAGAACTGTTCATGACTTTATGAATGGGGAAGTGCTTCCAGCTGAATTCCAGATCAGATTCATCTTTGGGTTGCTTTGTGCTCCAGAGTTTTCCCTTTTCAAAACAGGGAGATGGCAGGGATAAGGGGCTCAAAGACGACCTCACGCACCTCCTTCACTCTTTGGCTTTCCTCCTCCATCTTCCCCCACAAGCACCATCCTGCTCCTTTCCTGTTACCTTGCCAGGTCACCCCAGCTCCCATCCTCTGTGCCATTTGCTGTCCCAGAAGAAAGTGCCACTGGTCTCCTGTACCTGTTTGTTTGTCCAAAAGCAAGCAGAGCAGCACCTGGAGGGGCTCATCTGGGACAGAGTGGTGATGTGGTTGCCTGTTGGTCTGTTGGGAGGAGATAGACTGGATTTTGTTCCTCGTTGCACCTTCAGCCTGAGACACTAAACATTTGTGTTCTAAATAATGCTTGACCTGTGCCCTAACATGAGGAGAGTTCCACCAGCTACACAAACGCTCAGTTTCTTTTATGATGTGGATTTTCCAGTGGCTCTGGACGTGACACAAAGCTGATGTTTTTCTCCTCAGTTTTTTCGTGATGCTCTTTTCTCCTTTCTTTCCAATTACCTTGCAACAAATGTACATGGAAGACAGCATCTATAGCACACTGAATTGTTTCGCCACCAAGAGAAGAAAGGTCATCTGGCAGCTCTTTGAATTGCTGTTAAAATTACCACCTACCGTAAATGCTTGTACGTTTTAATCCGGAGACCCTGGATCACAAATTTTCTTTAGGTTAAAAATAAATCCACTCACTGGCATCTGCAGAGAACATTTTCCAAGGTCAGAAAACTACCCCGCCGTCAGAGTAATTTGTAGCAGCCACCCAGGGAAAGGTGGGCTTGACAACACAGCCATGCTGCGAGACAGGATGCAGCACCACTGCAAAGGAGCAGATGCTGCTCTTCCCTCACCCCTGTGTCATGAACCCTTCTCCTTTTTCAGCAGAATCTAAATTTACCCGGTCCTTTAAATATAGATATATAGTATATGAGAAAAGAGCTCTCAGATATCCTCAGCCTCTCCCTGCATGAGGAGGAAGAGCCCCCCTGACTCCTGACACCGTCAGCCATGGTATTCTCTGCGCTCACCCAAATGTGCTGCAGCATCAACATCAGTCACTTCAAAGAGCTCTTTCATGTACCACACGTTTTTTTCTCCAGAAGGCCCAAGCCAAAGGCAGATCTGGCTGTCTCTAGCTTATTTGGCTCGCCACTTGTGTGGCCCCTTGGAAAGGTCTCAGAGGAGGGAGCAAACTTTCCATGTGCTTTCAGTGAGCAGGTGTAAGATATAAAGCTCTTTCTGTCACCTGTTGTTAGCAGTGCAAGGTAATTAATGGCTTTGTGCTGCTCTCAGGTCTGCCGGTTGTACTGAGTGAAGGACTCCTCCCCTGCCTGCACTACAGAGAGGTCCAGTTCCTTGGGTGAGACAGGGCATGGAGATGGGCAGTTTCCATTCCTCTCTGCTGAGGCTTCTGCTTATGTCTCAGGAGAGAGCCTACAGACCACACTGCAGCAGGGCATGCTACAGTGGGACTTAAAGCGTGGCTGGCTTCTCAGCCACTGCAGAAACGTGGGCTGCCCCTCGTGGTGCCCACCTCTGCAAGCAGCTGGGGCCATGCCCAGCTTCATCACATGGGGGATGCTCCGGGGAGTTGCCTGTGGGGGGGTTGGTTCTCCTGGGGGCAATGTTCAGATGAGGACAACCCAACCCTATGTCAGGAGCCTGCATGCAGGAAGCCTGGGGAGGTGTGCATACCTGTCCCACCAGCCTACCCTTCGCAGCCAAGCGGGTGCTCGTGGGGTGAGGGATGCTGCTCGCCAACCCTTCTGACACCCAATGCCACAGCTGGAGGAGCAAGTACAGTGGTGTCCCTGTTGGGGAAAACCCTGATTCTGCATGTCCCAGACAGAGCAGGCTCACAGGAACCTGCCTACACTGCACAGCAAAATCCTCTATCTGTGCTGTCCGATCAACACTGTAGGACTTTTCTCTCCAGTTCTTACTAATTTCGGGCAACAGGCACCTACTTCAGCACCTTAATCACTGTAAGATCCTTCTGTCATCTAGTTCAGTGTCTGAAGGAACCCTTTCTCTCTGCTCAGCACAGAGGGAGCCCACCAGAAACACACATCTGATTTGGGCAGTTAGATGCCTAAAGTCCTTTGATGTAAATCCAGTCTACGTCCTCAAAAATCCCTCATCCAGCCATTCCCCAACTTCTCAGTCTCCTGGTAACAGGAGATCTGATTCAATATGGTAGCTAACTTTTTGGGGACCTTCTGGCAGAGTCACATGAGCTGACGACATCGCTCAACGTTTGAGTGGCAACGTTCGTTCTTGATGATATATGTAGATGCAAATATTCTGGCAAATTCTCTTCTCTGCAGGGAGAGACAAGCCAGATACTCTGCTCCACCGTTAACCAGAAGCCAGAAGAGAAGGGAAGGCACATACCAGTTTTACTGCATATACCTTCATTGGCCAAACAAGGCAGGCAGCCAGCAGTCTATTCCATGCAGCAACCATGGCTTCATCCTGCTTTTGCAGCCAAATGAGAATGGCGAGGCACATGGCAGGAGGTTGTATTTTGCAGTCTTGATTCTTATTACAAGGTTCAAAGTTTTTTGTTTACATGCTAAGGAGCAGAGGCCAAGTCTCTTCATGCTTGTAATTACTTAGGTACAACTAGCAAGGAAGTTTGTTTTTCTCATCTAGAAAGCATTTGTCTGTAGCCAGTCACTTAGAAAAGACTTTCAGGATAATTTTTTCCATTTCTCTGCTCTTTGAATATTAAGCTGCGAGTAGAAACTGATTCCCTAGAGGGTATAATACTTTCTGCTGCCACAGACTGTCATGTACTTACCAAAAACATTGATTTCCTTTGGACGCAAAGATATTGCCATCTTTCTGATTGATTGGATGTGACTGCGTATTTCCAAAATACACAAAGGTGGGACAACCACAAATGTATAATTAATGAATTGTTTTGGCCATATTTACTACAGAAGTTACCTGAGCCTTGGCTGGAAAACGTATCCCTTTTGGTCTGGGCCAAGTGCATGCCAGCATGCAGTATATTTTCCTTAAGTTACATGATACGAATGCTTTTAAGAATCACTTGTGTTCCTCCAATCTGCCTGCCAGAAGTGTTGCCCAAATCCATTCCCTATTTAATCGTGAAGGAATGCTGTTCAAAAGATTTGGGGTCAGAAGTGCTCAATAAATCAATCCAGATACACTCCTAATGAGTGGTGAATTAAACAGCATTTGTTTTAAGATCAGAGGTCCTCTAGGGAGATTATTTTTTATTACAAGCAGAATTGCTCACTTGCAGGTATCAAGAAGCTGGGAGCTAACGCCTGTTTTGAAGGTCCACAAAAGAATCTGGGTCTTCTTTACTGAAAGCATGTGATTGCATCCAGACAATAATGATAAACAGTTGAGACTCATGTCCTCCACTGGAATACTTGGTTTCCTGTATTAGGGAGAAAGAAAATTCTTGTAGCTTCAGCTGGGATTAAGTTATTCTACGTTTATAGCTCCAGGTTCTTATCCTGCAGCCCACAACACAGGGATTCAGAGCAAGGAGTGTGGGGAATATAGCTGGGGTAGAAAGGAGATGTTTGGAGTCCAATCTGGCAGCTCACTGCAACTGCTCGGAGCAGGGCGCTGGATGAAGCTGTCCTCTGCAGAGCTGGGCAGGAGAAGCCAGGGCTTTTTGCCACCTTGAAGGACAATGGGCAAACGTTTCAGGTGAAGTGCTTGAAATGGAAAAGATTTTGCTTGCTGATAATGTCTCTTGTTCATTTCCAGCCTTCTATGGTTTTGACAATTTGTGGGTTTTCAGAGCATTAGAAATTAATGATTCCAGCTTTCTAGTCAGTCTCTAACTTCCCGTCAGCCACTCTTCTGTAAGCTGTCCATCAGGGTACTTGTGCAGGGAGGTTATAAGTGGATATAAGGTGTCCCCATGCAGCCTAAGTAGCGCCGTACGGCTGCTTTACACAGGAGCAAGTGAGAGTCCCTGGGCAAGCAGGAGAGGATGAGGTCCACACTAATAGTTAGAAAGTCACACTCAATGTTTGGAGAAACTAGGAAACAAACGGACCTGACCATACATCATCCTTCGATATTATCAGGAAAAGGGTAGCCAGTTCCCTCTGGTGTCTGGAGAAACAGTCAGATCCTTTCTGTTTGCACATTATTATGCTTTTATCACACATTGCTCATTAGAATTTCATTTAGTTCTAGTTTAAACGGATAGGCTGACATTCCCTTTCCTGTCCTAGATCCACATTTAGACAGCAATGCCCCACAGCACAGCCGTGTAACACACAATCATGGGGGGTGGCCAAGACAAATGGACCAGACGACTTCCAGGTGAAGGATGTGGTTGTAGAAATCTTAAATATCCTCATAAGGAGCAAAGGCTTTGAAACTACTTTTGCCACAGAATATTTAGCAATTCATGCTCTGGGAAGAAATTATTAAACTAAAAAAAAAAAGTTTTTTTAATCAAGTAACTTAAGGCTGGTGTGGGTCAGACCTTGGCATTTTCTTTCTGTGGGGAAATGCTGATGTTTCCAGGCAGTTTTCATTCCGGATTGGAACGAAGCCTAAAAATGTTTTGCCTTTCTGTGGAAACAAAATTCTGAAAATCTTTTGTTCTGGGAAGCTCAAAATGCTGCTTTTCACTTCTTCTGAAACCAAATGCTGCAGACATACGCTCGCTGGGAGGGGGTTGTCTTCTCAGACGGCTGCCAAGACTGAAGTGCAATGATGTCTGAGGCGACTCCACAGCATCCCCTGGGCTGTTCCTGGGATGTGTGGTGCACAGAAACCCCTCAGTCCCATTCTTTTTTGGGCCTCCAGACCTGCCATGTGCCCTGCTGTGCAGCAGAGCCTGGGAGATGCAGGTTTTGACCCAGAGCTGTGCTGCCCATCGAGTGCTGCCAGGGGACACTGAGCCTGCGACACTGCCAAGGAAGCTTCAGTCTGGGGACAGGAAAGGTTTCCAGAGTCAGAAATATTTCCATGAAACATAACTGGTTTTGACATACCACCATCAATCAATTACTAATTCCTGACTAGGTAGGAACTGCCTTGGTTTGGTGGGCAGTGAAGCACATTATGGGTCTTGGATAGTTGCAGTGGTTTTCATACCAGTCACCAGTGGGAGAAGGGAGATATCTCAAGGAGATTGGAGGAAGAATGAGCTTCAAAAGCTCTGAGGTTATCCTATGGATATATACAAACCCAGGGAATGTCAAACCCTGATGGAAGTATGAGTATGCAGCTCACACAGGATAGGAGAAGGGCTGAAGCTTTAAAACATAGTCTGGGGCAGCCACATTGGCATTTAGGTTATTTATGTTGGTTAGGCATCTACATCTTTTCACCATTCTGGATCTTGGCTCCTTTTGAAAATGGATTTTGGACTCATAAGTTATGGGGACTTTTAATAGTTTTATATCAAATTAATAACTCTTCCAGGAGTAACTTCAGTGTTTGCACATTCCCTGTTTTACACTGGATATTATTTATAACCACATATGTCAGTTCAGAAGGACAGATCATTCAGAAAAAGATGTGGCTTATATACAGCAGTGATGGATGGTTTCTTTATAGAAACCACTTGCATATGAAAGAGCAACTGTTGTGTATTAAATAGGTTCCCTGTGTTGTGCATAGAGTTCATACCTGTCACTGAAGTAAAAATTCAATGAGACAGGGAAAGAGCAAGCAAGCTCATGAAATTACATGAGATAGTCACATAAATGCCAAAGAATACACCATGATTTTTTGTTACTACAATGACTACCTGGGGAAGTCATGAAGATGCTTGAGAAACTTGGCAAATGGGTTGATTGCCTGGCACTTTCTGTTCCTGCCTCATGTGCCTGGGACTTCTTGTTCCTGTACTGAAGAAGTGTGAAAACTCTGCATTGAGGAATTAGTTACTCCTAAAGCATTAATAGCTGGAGAGTTGCCAAATCATTATTGTTTTTTCTGGAAAGGGTATTAGGTATTATTCAACAAGATAAGATTTTCTTTCCATGTATCCATACCAGCTCAATATTGGAAGATGAAACACATACCTAGGGGATTACAGACCCAGAATACACCTTTTCCAGGAAAACGAGCTGAGTGAATCACTTCAGACAAAAATGTGTTGAAATGTTAAACAAGTGCTCTCTTGATTTAATGTTCTTGTTAATTATAAAAAAAGCTCCATGAAAATGGAGACAAGTTAAGACTGATATTGTTTTATGGAACTAATATTTTTAAGGGAAACAATAAAAGTGGGCACATGACCTCAAACTATTATGAAAAAGGGGTAGAAAACATATTAGGAAAACATTGGTCCTGTATCATTTTTCCGGTGACTGAACCATCAGAGCTGTCATAGTCTCATGGTTTCTGCTACAGGCAAGCTAACAAAGACACAGCTTATTAGACCTCTGGCTAACAGAGTTGCTTTCAAACCTGGGGCCAGCCAGGCTTTCTCTGGAAAGTTCTCAAACTTCAGAGATGGCACAGCTTGGCCATGAGACTCGTCCCAATGTAGAGAACCCCAGAGACCCTCCATGGCATGGGAGCCTTTAGTTTACAATGCAAGTGAGCTTAGGTGATCTCTCATACTCCCCGCAGTGTCCTTCATTTAGTCCTTTAAAATTATTGTGAGGGTCCTTCACATGATGATTAAGTTTCCTGACTTCAGTGCACTCGAGATAGGGGGAGAGGGAAGACTCTGTGTTTCCTTCCCCTCTCCCTGCATACATGTATGTGTGTATATCTCTCTATATAGTCACATGCATATGCACAGACTGGGGCTGGGAACCTTAGAATCATAGAATCGTTAGGGTTGGAAAGGACCTTAAGATCATCAAGTTCCAACCCCCCTGCCATGGGCAGGGACACCTCACACTAAACCATATCACCCAAGGCCTCGTCCAACCTGGTCTTGAACACTGCCAGGGATGGAGCATTCACAACCTCCCTGGGCAACCCATTCCAGTGCCTCACCACCCTAACAGGAAAGAATTTCCTCCTTACATCCAATCTAAACTTCCCCTGTTTAAGTTTTAACCCATTACTCCTTGTCCTATCACTACAGTCCCTAATGAAGAAGGGCAAGAGCTCAGTGTTGGTGGCCACTGACAGGACAGGGAGAAGAATAACTGAGCCAGGAGAGCTCCAGGCAAACCCTTGCCAGCAGTGAAGGGGCACGAGGAGCTGACTTCACCAGCTGGGATTTCTTTGCCAAGTTACCTAACTTCCCATCTGGGAAATCTTCTGGATAAAAAAACATTTGCATTAAAGACTTGAGATAAACTGAGTGCTTGTGACCCAGGAGCCCCAGGGGCCAGCAGAGGTAGGAAGAAAAGCAAGATCTAGGCTCTGTGAGCATGGGGAAAGGGGAAGAGTTTCTGGGAAGGAATATCTGACCACCCGGATTTGTCTCTAAGAGACACTGTCATGTTTCTGCTCCTTATTTAAAAGAGCTGGAGTACTCTGGGGCTTTTGGGGGCAGTGAGGTCGTGGTGGGGAAGAAGTGGTGGAGAAGAAAACTGATGGAAGCAAGTATCTGGCAAGATAGTGTTAGGCTGAGTCTAATAAAAATAGCAGCAAAGATATCTTAGGCCTTTCTGCCAAGACATAAGGGTGTGATTACTTTGCTTGGAATATGCTGTAATCTTCCTTGAATCCAGACATATTTCAGGTGCAGGAGAGCAACTGTCTCCATAGTTTTCTCTGAGTCTGGGCAGATTCACCAGATTTTCCAAGCTGATGCCTTATTGTGTTTCCTGTCTCTGTTACAGCTCTTCTTGTAAAACTTATTTCATCCGTGGTAAACTCTGGTAAGTACAGAGGTTTGTCTTTCCTGCTCCTTGTCATGGGGCATTTAGTTTCTTGGATCTCTGGAGAGCAAGTTTAAGTTGGTGACACCAAATTTTGCCTGCAGGAAATCAAACCCAGCCCATGAGACTGCCAGTAAAGAATTGCCAGCGGATCGCATGAATATTCAAGCATATATGGGCATCTTTAGGATGCAGTCCTTTAATCCAGGGAAATAAGCCAACACTACCACAAGTACGCTACACAAAGGAGTATGTTTTGGTCTGCATGTACTTATAGGGTGAGTACAGGCATGTATTTAGAGAGAGGGAGAGGCAGGGAGAGGGCAAGAGTAAACTCACCTGTGGAAAGCCAAATAAGGCAAGATAAGGAATGCAGAAGCCCCATTACACAGGCTTGTGCTGGCTGGTGGCACAGCAATTACAGCCCAGGAGAGGCTGCCAGGGGCTTGCAGGCAGTGTCAGCAGTGGGGCTGGCTCATTATCCCCCCGAGAAAGGCACGGACGTGTGATGAAACCATTGTTACCAGGAGTAAACACCCGTCCCTGTGCCAGGATGCAGGGCACTGGGGTAGCAAGGCACCTTTCCCGAGCAGCCGTAGATGGTGGCCTGCCCTTTCCAGCCCTCCTTCCCCTGCTTCACCTCTGCTGCCTCCCAGCTGGAGGCAAACTCAGGCAGCAGAGATGTGTCGTGGTTTAAACCCAGTCAGGTAATTCGTTCGCTCACTTCCCCCCCTTTTCTTGCCCTCCCCCTGCTCTCGGAGGGACGGAGAGGAGAATTGAAAAGAATGCAACTCCCACAGGTTGAGATAAGAACAGTTTAGTAACTAAGGTATAACACAAATCACTACTGCTACCACCAATGATAATAATGATAAAGGAAATAACAAGGGAAGAGAATACATCATCTCACCACCAGCCGACCGATAACTTGCCCCCCCCAGCCCGACCAAGCTCTGACCGATACCTCCTCCAACCCTGCAGTCTCTCAGCCCTTCCGGCTAACTCCCAGTTACCTCCTGGGCATGACGTGCTGTGGTATGGAATACTTCTTTGGTCAGTTTGGGTCAGGTGTCCTGTCTCTGCTTCCTCCCAGGCAGAGCATGAGGCTCACAAAGTCCTTGGCCAAACCAAAACATCGCCAGCTCTGTTCCCGAGCTGAAAGTCAAAACACTGCACTGCACCAGCTACCAAGAAGGGGAAAAATGACTGCTACTGCTGAACCCAGGACAAGATGCCAGCAGCTCGGTTGGCCCCACATGGCTCCGATTTCCAGCGCAGCCCAAGCAACAGCCACCAGCCCTGGAAGCCAATTAGAAAGTCTGTAAAATGCTGCCAGTTACAAGGCAGTTTTCTGCTGAGTGCATGGCCTGGTACTGATCACTACGGCTCTAAGCCCAGGCTTTTCTTCTTTTTGCTTCAATTACAGGGCCTTTAAAGCATCTTGTGTTTTCAGCTGCCATTGTCATCACACTTCAATGCAGCATGTGCCATGGCATGTGTGTGAGCACAGCTGGGATGCTATACAAAACCAAAGATATTTGCTTTACAGGCCTGTACATAGAGTCCCCACAATCTGCCAACAGCCGAATGTGTT